ATGAACAGCACTAGTAGATGCTAGATGGCATATTACAAACGACGATATTTTCAAAGACCTGAACATCTCTACTATACATGAAACAATTTAAAAAAGCAGTACTAACCATATATCTAAATTTCTGCAGCAAACAAATTTGGAAATGAAAAGTCTCCCTGCCTTGGAACTAGGGTACAAAAAACATCTAAAAAGCGCCCCATCAACCTACTGAAGATTGGGTTGAATGAAGATTAACCGCATAAGATACAACCACTAGCTAAAACAGCTAGCTGAAGGTGATACAATTAATGAATTTATAAAAAAGTTGCGATCAAGATAGGTTGGACATGTGATAAGAATGCCGAATATGAGAGTACCGCTTCAGATTTATGAGAACGAACTAAGAACCAAAAGAAGAAGAGGGCGCCCAAGCAAAGAATAGAAAGACAGTGCACAGTAGGACTTAGAAGTAATAAATATAAGAAATAGGAAAAGTAAAGGAAAAAACAGAAAAAAAATGGTAGACTGTTGTTAAACAGGCTTAGGTCCTACATGGGCTGTATAGTCACGGATGATGAAATATCTATGATAGTTGTAATATTAATGGAATAAAAAAAAAAAATGAAAAAAAAATCATTTAAGAAATAAACAAAAAAATTTTTTAAAAAATTTATTATTTAAATATTGAGCAAATAACAGCCAAAAAAATTTAATTAAAAATTTAAAAATTTTTATTAAATATATTTGGTCATTAAAACCTGTAATTATTATCGCAAAACGACCTACAGCAAAGACATTTAAATTTATCAGAATTTATAATAAATATTATATTAATAAATAAAAATTTATTTTCTAATACATTTTTCATTTTATATATCTAGATAAATATGATTTTTATAAGTATTTTGGATATGTATGAATAAATATTTCAATGGATGCAGTATATACTGTGTATATTGGATTTGCTTTAAGCTCCAGATTATGTCTATATTTTCTATTATTTTTTGTTGATGAATTTATTTTAGGAAAATCGTCTTATTTGCACATGATTCACCCCCTACTGATATCCTTGGTTTGATTCGTAATTTTAACCATATTAAGCACTTTCGTATTTATATAAAGGAAGAGCATATAATTTATACTGTAAATATAAATATATTGTAAATATAAATTCTGAGTAAAAATATTTTCACGTATACAAATGTAATGTCATACTGCTTATTACCAATAGAAGAAAAAATGTCAGTAAAACAATTTTTAATTCCAATTGATATGCATCACAGAGCATAGGGACTATTCCCCAAGGACATACACAGCATTAATTTATTTCGTATTCGTATGCACAAAAGCTCCAAGTTCCTATAGAGAAGACAACACACTCAGTATAAAAAATTAAAATGCAAATCTATACACTTTTCCTTTTGATAATATATATTCCATAAAATATTCGAACTGAGCATTTGCGTGTTATAAATCATCGTCAAAGCAATTTTCCTTACTTGCTTTATGTAGTAAATATGTCTCGAGTACTCGGAGTACACAACAGTATATTATGACGCCAACATATTTATGGCAGCTCATGTACATATGGGAGTTTCATTGGCATTGTCAACTTTTATCTATAAAATCGATTAAGAAACCACATATTGTGAATGTAGTAACTTTCAAATAACACTTCTAATATTATGAACTCGAACCGAGTAAAAGAGTTATCCTAACACCGAAAAGCAGTGACAAACACAAATGAAATATATATTTATAATAATTAATTATTTATTATAAAGGAATACCAAAAAACACTGTATATTTACATTTATTCAAAGGAACAACAGAAGCAAGAAGCTATACTATTACAATATAATAGTAAAGCCAACCAGACGACAATAAAAACACTCAATATTCATCAGGTAACGACAATATTCGTGTTGGAGTGTATTTGTTCCCATAACATCATTGGCTCAAAGTCCTATAGTTAGGAATCTAGATAATAATGTAAGTTTTTTGGACACGAAAATTTAGCTTTCTACCTATCATAGTTTTTGAGTAGTCTTGGGACATCACTAAATGCCCCATGTTTGGGCAAAAATTTCGTAAGGTTCCGGTATGCCGATTGGACTCAAATTAGATTTAAAAGATCATCTCAACTATACTTTAAGAAAATTTCAAATCAATATCTTCATGGTTCCGAAAATATCATATTTTGGTCGGCTGATTTCTGTTTTGTCACACTGTGCGTCGGTGTGGGCTCACAAACGAAAAGAGGAGATTACGATGTATCGCAAGATATTCTCAGACTACATTATATACTCACATATTGACATTGATTTCCTAGTGGGTAAATCAATCCCAGAATTTTACAGCGAGCTTTACATGTGATTTCTACAGCGATCATGCGGGAGAGATCTAACAACTTCTCACTCTCAAGCAAGACCGCTGAATAAGTGTAAGACAGGTGTGAAGTAAGCTTTATAAAAAAAAAACTTAGAATTGGTAATTAGTGTTTTTTCGCTAAACTTGTCAGTTTGGTTCCTAGTTCATTCTTTCTTTAATTATTTTTTTTTTCCTAAAATACTAAAATATATGTATTGCTAAATATATTAATAATAAGTTTTTTATAATAAATTTTATTTGTATAACAAAAATATATAAATTAAATAAAAATTCTTAATCTATATACATAAAAGAAAGTCGTGTTAGTTAGACCACTTATAACTCAAGAACGGTTGGACCGATTTTAAAAATGATAAACCCATTGAATGGTAGGTATCAACATCATAGTTTTCAATTCAGAATACAGACGTCAGTCTTACTTCTAAGATACTAATTTTACTGTTTTAAAATCAGGTGAGAAAACTACCAAGAAAATTAGTTCGTATAATCCAAATCCTTGACAAACATCAAGTGATCGGCACGACATCACTGCACGTGTATTCAAGCACAAAATTCGATCGCTGATGAATCTAAAATTTAATATAACATTCATTGACTGTTACGCGATACGAAGTTCGTGGAGTTACCTAGTAATATATATAACAAACTAAAAAAAAATAATGTATTTAATTATAAGAATAAATTAAAATGCAAAACTATATTATATTACGATGCTACGACCAAGACGACGACAATAAACCATGGAAATTCTAAATACCAACAGCCCTAAAGATACAGATATTAAGGGAGAATCACATCGAACCTCCAGATTTTATATTACTTTGTAATGTTTTATATTTTTAGTATATATATAAGTCAGTCCACATATAAGTAATATGATTTCTTAAGATTAGTCCAATAACCACAACGAATACTATTATATACTATTCAAGGCAACATCCAAAAGCGTTCAATTGTGAATAAAAGATATTACTGTCCTTTCTTTAATAAGTATTATAAAATGCCTAATAGCTTATTTTAATGGTTGAAAAATTTTATTCCAAAATATTAATTTTGTTACTTGAGCATGCCTTAGTCATAAATAAAAGGTTGTGTTCAACAAATTAATTCCTGGTGATACGTGCTTCGCTGGATTCGTTATCTTCCAATTGAAACACGACACCAGGCTGGATATGTTAACATGAACTTTTATGTTAATTCAATTAAGCAAACGTAATTAATCACCACAGTAATGGAAACAAACACTTGAATTTTATTCCTTTTACAGGATAACTTAATGCCAAGGTTGTAGAGACACTTAAATCAAAAGCAGAGTCATTGGATTGCACCCTAAGTAAGTTAACATATGAAAAAATTTAAGTAATGCCTGTATACCTTTTTATTCAAGAAAGTAACTTGTAAGGATTCAATGCTTCAGTCTGAATATTTTCCGAAATTTTAAATAATTTATTAACATAAATAAGTAAATTCGTCATTTCGATATAACGACATATTTATTCATGTAGAATTGATATTATAGAGACTTAATTGTCTTTTCTACTGAACGCAGAAAATTTGATTACTCAAGACAATCAAACCGATATCGTACACAACATATTTTGCTTAGGCAAAAACAAATAAAAAATAATCTGATATTAGAGCATATGTTGTTTGTATTATATATGATATATTCGGTAGTGAAGACTTATGGTCTGCCCTATAGTAGCAATAGCATCAGGAAGTGTCTTAATAAACCTAATATCATTCATCGTACATGAAATAATAAGTTCGATTGTCTATACGTTTGAACAGACATGTTAACCCCAGAGTACCTTTTCAGAATCCATGATTTTTTTAACAGAGCAAATTACATGTCTTTATATTTCTATGTTTTTGCCCGCAATATTTGTTGCAGTCGTCTGTAACATACAACCATTATGGGAGCTGCTAAGTGAAATAACTTCTAAGAAATACGATTTAAAAATACTCGCTAGTATTCCTAAAGGTATTCCTAATAAGATCATTAATATTCTCAAAAAGAGCTATAAAGATCCACGATCAGAGTTTTACGTTAAAGTACTCTTAGCAACAACTTTAATAGCAACAGCTTTAATTGCAACAGTGGAGTGCGACAGGGCTGCGCCCTCTCACCGTTGCTGTTTATAATAGTCCTAGACGTCGTTCTCGAAGCTGTGGAAGAAAAACCAATCATCATCGGTTGGAAGCTGAATCAAAAGCCAACATACGCAATTGCCCACGGAGTCATGGATTGGAACCCGCAAGGAGTAAAAAGACGAGATCATCCCAGAACCACTTGACGGAGAACAGTCACAACCGAAACGAAAAAATCCTTTAATGAACTACGTTTTCCTGCCAGAAACAAAGGCGAATGGAAAAATTTTATAACAACTATCTGCCAATTTTATAATGAAGGACATGTCATAATATATAATAAATAATTTCAAAAAAAAAAAATAGAATATCGCTTCAAATATATATATAAAATGTACACAAGTATTATGAATATGTCTTATATTTAGTATATCTTTTATTTGTAATATTAAATAATTATTTACAATTAAGTGGTTATTATATTATAGTATATTACTTTAAAACATTTTCTGTGTTTGCAATGTGATCGATGACATGATTCCATATCACCAGTAATTAATATAGTTCTACCGGTATCGGTTCTTGCTGTCATTTCTGTAGTTTAGCTCTTATGCTTGACGAATGACGAAATCGACTTTGAAATGACGGTTGTCGGTTGGGTAAGTTATTAGCCATTCTTCTGTATGCCAAGTATGAAATGCATGGACTTTCGGGTGCTGGTTTCATGTTTATATCTGAGGATAGCTCAATGACTTCTAGTGAGTTTATGTATTGTGATGAGTGTGCACTTATACATTTATAGATGAGATGACTGAGAATAAGGATGATGTGTTTTATATTATCGACTGATCGTAGGATAGTGAAGATAAACAGACTGCTTTTGCACCAATCTTTGGCATTTTTATTATAATATCGATGTAACATAATTATTCGTGGTATGATAACATGTATATCCATGTGGGCTACATTTATTTGAGGCCCACCGACATAATCCAGGTTGGGCTTGGTGTTGTCAAATCAAATGATTGATTGATGTCGTTTACTGGTGATATAGTTAGTACATTCACAATGTTGGAATGTGACAAATATGATGATAAGGATATTTGCATAGTATTCGAACTCATAGTTGAATGATGACTCTAAGATGTAGGTGGTTGTTGTATTGATAAGATTCCAGTAAACGTGGTAGGCATGTGGGGTTCATATGGTGGCATATACCACCCTGATAATGCATCTTCGTCCAAACAATGTAGTTGATGTGGTATAAAAATTGTTTGGTTTTGTTGTGCAAGACCTTGAGTGATTGCGTAGCGTTCTGCTATTGATGGTATTGGTTGTACAAGCCGCTGTGAATGTTGATCCTGAGAGAAATTGTCCATACTTATTATTGTATGAATTTTATTATTAATAGTGATGAAGTGTACTATATACTGTGTGTAGGAACTTAGATATTTAGATATAAACTTAGATATTAGATAAAGTTGTGTATGTGCTCTCCGCAAGAAGTAATGTTAATATCGGTTGTTGAAAGAATGAAATATCATAAGTATTGTTTAGGTATTTATAGTATTTTAAAATTGTTTCAATATTGGTCATTTCTTAAAAAAATGTAAAATAGGATACAATAACAAATAATAAAAATTATAAATTGAATATGAGTGGTACTGAATTTATTGGTTACAGGTACACAAAAATTATTTTGTCACCACAAGTTAACATTGACCTTGCGGATATGTATTTTTTATGACACTTTCTAAGTTAAGGATAATAAAAGATTTTTAGGTAAAATTGTTATAGTTATGAGAAATAGGACTATGAACAGAAAAGAAAAGGGTTATGTTTGTTGACTAGGTAATATGACAAATAGATATTCTTTGATAACGTAAATTAGAATGTTATTGGATCTTGATGTATTTAAGACATTCTTAGGTAAAATTATTTAAGTCAAGGATGATATTTATAACAGTATAATAGTTTGAACGTTTGAATATAAGACGCATAACAATAATATTAAATAAGAATAATATAATAAAAAATATATGCATAAATATTATATATATGAGTATATGTAACAAATATAAATACTAAGCTCTTTCTGTACAAACATTTCTAACAAAAAATGAGAAAACTCAGCCATAAGCAAACATCTGTAGGCAGTCTAGCCCCTTTTTGATAAAAGGAAATCCAAAACTCTCATTGAGATGTCCCGCAGAGACATCGGTCTTTTGGTAGGTTTACTTAAAGGTCACTGTAAACTAGGGAACTATGCTAGAAGATTAAGTCTTCCTTTCAAACAAATCTGTCGTAACTTTGGGGAAGACGATGAGAGTGTATCTCATCTGCTGTGCGGCGACTTTACACTTGGGGAATCCTCTTTCTTGGGAACCTGGACCAGTCACAGGACCTGACACTGAATAGCATTATATGCTTCGCCAAAGGTTCTAGGTGGTTTCATACCCTAAGTTTTTCCCATTGATACGGTACTATAATGGGTGATTAGGCTTAAGTGGATCCACTAGGGATCGCCGGTATAACCTAACCTAACCTATGTTTATAAATGTATATAAACACTTATAAAAATAAACATACATGTTTAAAATTATACATGTCTTAAATTATATACAAAAGTTAGATATCATTTTTAGTAAAATATCTACTCGCTCAAACTATAATATTACAATAAATAAATATCATCGATTTCTGTTTGTGAAAGAATCTCATGTTCAGACATAGGCCATGGATGTTATAGCCGTTAATTTTTAAAAAAAATTAAATGATAATTTGGAGCAAAAATTTGTAAAAATAGACGCGGCTAACATATTAGAACAATTTTTTTTTTTGGGTTTCGGCGCATAATTGCACAAACTCACAGCAAAGGTTGCTAGGGGTTAAAATATTTAACTACCAAATTACAAAAAGTAGTTCATTTTTCAGATTTAGCTCTGACCCCCGGTTATTTTCATAAAGATAAAAAATTTTTTACATAATAGCAACCATAGAGACATGCTATGTCATCTTTCCGAAAAACCGTAAAAGAGATACGATCCATAAACTAAAGTTTGGTTAAAATCACTGCATAAAATAGTAAATAAATATAAACAACTAAAAGGCTTTGTGTTTTCTACCATCTCATGAACTTTTTGAACACCCTAGTTTTATTAGAACTAACTATTAGAAGCTAAAGACATGATATGTGAATGCGTTCGTTTAATATTATTAAAATATTTAAGTTAAAAATTAAATGTATTAAAAGAAAAAATAAAATATTTCTATTTTAATTCGTTACTTCAGTGGTATTTCAACTAATAACTAATTAATTAACTTAACTTAATCAGATTAGTGTTACTCATCACTCACTTTTGTTTTCATTGCAGTGTTTCTTCCTATAGCTTTATGTTTAGCTAATAATTTTTGATAAATATCTTCAGTCACAATAGTAAGATAACCCTGACGTATCTTTTTTGTTGCCTCTTGAAAAATCTGTACATATTCGGAATACTCATCCCAAAACGGTTTTTCGCCATTGAAATTAAACATTTTTTTAAAACTATCGTAAATAGTTATAGCAAGGTTACGGATAGTTGCAGCGTGTGCTATGACTTTTCTTTCCTGTGTCACCCTTAACTTCCACGATTTCAAGTTTCCTACATATTTACGCAAACGTCGTATTGTATCAACACACCCCGGATTGAGCAAGACGATCAAACGATTTAATTGTAAATTTTTCAAACTTTTCAATGCCCTGAGACATAGATCAGTTTTAGCCTGATCGAGACTTGCATATACACGTAATCGTGAACAAATATCATTAAAACGATATTCACTCTTTAATAAACGTTTACGCTTTTTATCCTCTAAAGTGAATTCAACAGGAATTTCGACACCGAATTTTTCACATACGATAACTCGGTCCTTCACTATTTCATGTTTAATTTCTCCAATTTCTAGTTTGTATTTTATATATTCCGCTTCTTTCCGGTCTGCCCATTCCCATTCTAAACGTGCACTTTCAGATATAAACAATTTGGGTTTTTCGTAATCTGTTTTTATTGCGATCATTTGTCCCGAGGGAGTAATAGCAAGAACAACGTTATCGTCGTCCACACTAATACCTAAAGTAAAAAACATGTTAAACTAAAATCTCCAAGTAGAAGATCTATCTATGTGTAGATCGCATATTAGTTTGCAGCATTTCAAACGATATGACTGCAGTATTTCGCAGTTAAAATCATGTATTCAGTTTTAATCCATCCATTTATAGACACGATTTGGAAAAGTTTATAAGAATTTTTGCTGTGCAGTAATGGACAATGCACAATGAAATATTAACATACCTTTCACCGAAACTTTCGTAGAATATTCCATTTCCTTTTCTTCAGAAACTTCCTTCAATATTTTTAACAGATTACTAGTATTACTAGTACTATTTAAATTGAAGCTAAAACTTACACTAAGCTAATTTTCTTAATGCGGTATTTCTGTGTAATTAATTGGTCATAATATTCTTTATATTTAAAAATATTGGCAACTCTTATGGTATATTATCCGCCTCTGCAAAACCATAAAAATTTAGATAGTATTATTATTTTAACCGACCACGGATCATGGCGTTCTTTGTATTTCGCAAAAAAAAAACAATTCACCAATTTCAAATCTTATCTTTGCTATATAATCTTTGAACAACACTATTTAAATTATAGAAATAAATATTAATTAATAAAAATTTCACTGTGGCTTTATTTTCTAATGCGAACTGAATAAGTTGTGCCAAAGAAAAAGCACCTGACACAATCACGTCACATGTGTTTTCGTTCAATTACAGAGTTGTGTTTTCGTAAACTCAATTTAAATTTTTTATGTAAAAAGTGACACGCACACTTTTAATATAACAAATAGTTGACCTCAACCAACTTCAAGATGATTATAACAGTTAATCTTGATATTATCTTCAAAATAATTACTTTTTAAATATTCTCAAACAGAGCAAAGACATAAAATTCTATCTAAATGAGTACTACAGTATGTTCCCACTGCAGCTTGTAGTACATTCACACTGTCTCATTTAGGCACTTGCTCATTTATATTAATGAGTGAACATTCACATCATTATCAGCTCATTTATGCAGTTGAAAGAAGACACCGTCTTCATATCGCTTGCTAACATTCTTCAATTGTCTTCCATTAATTCAGTTCTTAAAATTTGATTGGGTTATTTATTGTAAACACATTAGTTTCTCACTGATAAAAGGATTTAATAGATGTTGATCAAAATACCTTCTTCTTCGGTGTTAAAAATATACATTAAATTACGAATATAATACATGGTTTGAAGTCATCAACTAAACACGTTTTTTGTAGTTCACTTGTAATCTTTCATTCGGGAATGCGGCAAGGAACAAAAATTTTACTTAACAATTTTGCGCCGCTTTCTATGAGAATTATTGCATTAATTATTGTATTAATCTTAAATGTGCCAATTTTGGAAACTATTTTCTTTTGATTTAGCCGATTTTCTATGTTATATTCAATTACCACAATAAGATTGTAGGTGCGGTAGAAAGTGACTCCTGTCGACTCTGTCATGAGAAGCAGAAAACATCAGAACATATTCTATGCAACTGCCCAACGGCGACAAGGAGTAGACTCAACTACCTTGGAAGCTGGATCCTAGTCCCAAATCAAATGGGTAAAATTAAGCCCACAGCATTTTACGAGATTTATAAATAGTCTAGAATTGTTTTAGTTGGGCCTTTACGCGCACAATAGATCTTTTAGTTCGGAGTAGATTCATAGCCTATTATCTAATAATAGTAATAATATTCAATGTTCAATGTTCAAAATACAGCATAAACTAGACAGCGCTTATTTCATGTATATTTTCTTATTTACAACATTATATTATATGTAATTCAAAACAATTTATAACCAATAAAAATCAACAAAATGACAATTCAAATGCAAAAAAAAATTTCTATAATTTTACCAAGGGAAAAAAAATCACTCTGTTGCGGGTATCACACGTAATGGTTCAAAAATCACGAACCAAAGAAGAACTCTTGTTCTTCAAACTGCCCCTTTTACAGCACGTACTGTTTTCAGAGCTACAATCGGGTATGGATCAGTAATACTCTCAACTGAATCAAGTCAAGTGACTTGTCAAATTTAAAAAAAAAAGTGAAATATGTTGCACATGCGGCATTAACTTGGAATCTGCAAGGCAGTAGAACCCGAGAACGACCACGCAATTCTTGGCGTAGAACAATAAATAATAAAACGAATAAATCGAGAGGTGAAATGAGATATATTGCTCGAGATTGGCAAAATTTGAAATCTTTTGTACAAACAGAGCATGCCATTAAAATAATAAGAAGTTATACAAGGAGTCATGGTCGCGTCAAATTTGAAATTGTTGTGGTTTTAATGGAAAATAAAAATTTGTGGATAAGCCGCAAATAATCTTTAACCGCACACTTTCCAATTTCAAGAAAAGACGTATAAGACGTAAGTACTGTTAGCAATAATTATGGTAAATTGAAAGTAAGCATATCTAGATTTCCTTTTAAATTTAGGCAAAACTAAAAAGTACAACAATAGTAGTAAAAATACGGAATTGGCAATACCGATGTGACAGTCTTCATAACAAGCCTTTTCGTCATAGCCCAGAAGATTCAATTTTGAAATGCTCGCGACACTCTATATAACATGGTCGGGCCCTAAATAGTATTACTTAGTAAAACGTGTCAGAATTTGTGCATAAACATATTCATAAGAATATATATATACATATATTTGTATGAGTATATAAGCATATCCACACAAAAATAAACACCATTTTGGTACAAATAAAATGTACCAAAATAGTAAAAATGTACCAAAATAGTAAAAATCTACCAAAATAGTAGTACACTTAAGAAATTGACATTTGTGATATATCTCTTTCTAAAACATGTCTTTTACTCATCATAATCCAGATGAGTAATATTTCTTGACCCTTTGTCTTATGACTCTCTACATACTACAGTCATAAGAATACTGTTTTCAAATATAATGTAAATTTCAAATTAGGAATTTGTTATTTCTGACATTAGAAATTCAAACTATTTGTCAAATGAAATATTTTTAAATAACAAAGTATTTTTATTTTGAAATGATTTAGTAGGCGTTAAAATGTTAGAATATGTATAAAAAAAACTAGATGGAAATAAAATGTTTCAAAATTTATTTATTTTATTTTTTATCACTAACAGTTTCACAAAACTGCTCGTCCGAGAAATGAATATTTTTTTTATTCAAAATTATTAGTGATATATTTTGTATATATACATTTTGATATATTAAAATACACCTATACTTGTTGCTACTTATTGCTGAGAAGTGCATATTACTGATATGTCTCTTAAAGGCCGATTAATAATTGAAATTTTGGCCAATAATGGGGAGCCGATGAAGAAAAGGGATCTGCTACGTAAAGTAGCAGCGATGGCTGAGGTGAGTTCAAAATATACAAATATTATAAAAAAAAATTGACAGTTGACTTTTTTATCCATCTGACTTAATTTTCTTTTAATATATTACTTTTGCTACCTTTGATCCTTTTTAACAAATTTAAATAAGTTGTTTAAAATATATTATTGTAAACAAATTAAAATATAAATAAATTATTGTATATTAAAACACCTAAAAAACTGTTCAAAAACTGATTGTAGCCTAAACAGAGTTATAATTTTCTTTTTTTTAAATAATAAGTCTAACTCTCAAAATTACCTGTTTAGACGACCCAGAAGAATTGTGAGGCACTTGTTATGAATGTGATTAATGCAGGGATTCGCCATGGATATGTTCAGGCCATAAGTTCTGACTCCTTCCTATATATACCTGGCAAAGACTTAATGCGTCTGTGCGATCCCAGCGTCAGTGACATGAGTATAAAGAAAGAAACTATAAATATTCCCACACTTGGTTGTTCTTCGGAAAATAATTTACAACTTGACGCTAATAAGACTGTAAGCCTTACGTCGTTGTGGTCAAACATTCCATCCCAGAAAACTGATCTTGGGCCTGTAATTGCAAAAAGAAAATCAGTCGCTCGATCACGCAAGCCCAAACGAAGAGTACATAAATACCGGGCAAGAAAAATGCGCGAGCGCGCAAAGCTACGCGCCAAAAGAAGAAAGCGATTACAGAGAAAGCCGAAGGCAAGAAATGCGATCAAACGACGTAAGCCTGGTGCCAATGTAAAAAAAAATATGAAGAAGTCCCCACCAAAGAAAGCAAATAAACGTCAGGTTCCAAAGAAGCGTGCGAAGAAACGTCCAAAGAAGCGTAATGTTGGATTTAAGAAGCGAAGGAATATGTTCCGCAGCAGGCGTGCAGCTCGTGCCCGTATGCAAAAACGTTTGCGTAAAAATAAAAAGCAACGTAAACGCCAATAATTTGGTGTTAATAGGTTGCTTCCAACGGTATTACCACCATTACCAACAATCACAGGGAAGCAACTAGAAGCAAATAAAAGGTAATATCAAATTTTGTTTCCACTTCTAATTTGATTACGATTTCTGGTGCCCCAGACATTGACCTTCGTTGACAATTAAACGTAACCAAAACTATTGCTGAAAATACTCCGCCTTTATAGAAATTTATAGTCAAATTATGCAATCCAGAATCTAATATCTTATTTAATAAGTACTAATTATTTTAGTTTGCTGGTGAAGTCACGTGAGAAAATATAAGAACGGCACATGTCATGAAAATCAAGGTAAGAAAAAAATGGCAGTAGATAATTGCAGATAATTAAGTTTACAAGAAAATATGAAGTTTTCAACAAAATTTAATAACTAAGTTTAATGTAGAAGATAATAAAAATTTAATTTTATTCCAAAAACTGGGAATAAACTCTTACAGAATAATAATTGCAAAAATAATTTCTGTCCTTTTTTTTCAATGCTTCTTTTTTACTTATTTGATAAACCTTCACAACCTGTTTTCCGAGTTTGACTTGATGCTCCATCAGTTACTTCACGTATATCTTGTACAGTAACTGCAGTTATTGCTTCCTCAATCTGATTACTTCATCTATAGAAATGGTTTCCTCCTATATCTTCTCCCTTCAACTGCGGTTTTAATGTTTTCTCAATCTAATCATTTCTCCTAATAAATATGCCCTCTTACATCTTCTTCGTCAAACTGCCGTCTCAAATGCCTATAGTAGTACTTATTGGCAATGGTAATTCACCCAGAGAAGTATTCAAAGTTAACTTGGGTAAATTAAAATTATTCATAAATTTAATAATATCCCTGCGTTTAGGACTTCTAACCTCAAATGAACAACAATAGTTAGATCTATATTTCGGGTAAAAAGTGATGAAAGTAATATTTTTATAGGGTGTTTAAATGATGAGCATGAACACAAACAAAATTCTATTAACTTTCTGTTCGATATTATTTTTCATTTTTTTTTAAAAGTTAATTTAATTCCATTTAATTAACTTTTGTACACATAATGCATATATTATTCTACAATTTGCAATTTATACTCCCTCTTCAGGATCCGTAGGATAGCCAATTCACTCACAATAAAATGCGTTAAAGTATAAGAGATAAATTGTCATGACGAATCCTTAAATTTTATTACTGAGTATTAATAATAAAATATGGACCCAATGCTGAATTGACTTGAACTTCGTAAGTATGATATACATGACTTCCCAAAAACGGAACATCTTCTTTCTCTCTTCTAATTATAAATATATTTTTCAATCAGGGATTCTCATTTTCATCACGACATTTTACTTCAATGTTAAACTTCTTCACATAAACCGCGTGCCCCCAATACCTTAGAAACAACTACAATTGTAAGTATATGCAAGTATCTTACATTTCAAATAGATATATATTTTATATAATATTTATAATTATTTCACAGGTGAAAGTATTACTGCTATATATACAGATATATCACACATATTTTTTTGCTTAAATTTTAATAAAAAATTGTGGTCGCATCTGTCATTTACAATTATCTATAAGTTCTATTTTTTACACGTATTACTTGTCTTAGATCATATATATGGAAAACATTAGTTGTCGTTTTTATTAGTTGTAGTGACTTCACATTATTCATATTATAGATCAACAAATCTGATTTCATTTTGCGTTGAGGAGAAATTATAAAATTTTTAATTTTCCTTTAATACCAAGTCTAATGGACTTGCCAAGTACTGAGTTAAGAATAGTTTCAAATTTAATTGTACTTACATCAGTGATCACATGATCACATATCTTATTAGGTCTATGTCCAATGATTTTCGCAAGAAGATTTTAAGTTACTTCTTGTTCGATGACATCATAACAGAGTTTGATTTAAAAATTTATTAAATCAATATAGAAAGTTCTTTTAAATGCTAAAAATATAAATAAATAATATAAAACCAACTTTTTGTACTCCAAGAAAGCCGACGTTAAGATACCATCAAAAATGTTCATTACTTATTGTCTCATTCATGAAAAACAGTTTCCGATGACAGCTATACGCAATCTATTGCATTACAACTTATTGTAATCGCATAAGGGAGATCGTCTTTAAAGTATGGACTACAACACCTTATCTCCAAAAATTCTTCATAAAGGTAGAAATAAAAACACTCAAACCACAAACCTCCCACTGAACAAAATATATCATGTATGATACATAGAATTTGTGATATTAGTTTGTGATATTATTATAGTGTTTGTAAACATTGATACAAAAAGATGAAAATATTTATTTCTCACAATAATATGTTATTCCTTAAGACCTGAAAATTAGCACATTGTTAATAAATCTTCATCTTGTCAAAAAATCTAAAGCTTAAAGAAACCATAATATTATGTAGCCAGTGACCAGTATCGACGAAACGAAAAATTTTTTACTTTCTGGATCTCTTATCACACATATCTATTCTATACCGAACACTTATTATAATGAATTTTAGTTTAGTATATAACAATACCAAAAAAAAAACTGTAAAACTTCTCTTTCAGATTTTAGTGATTTCTTCTGGGATCCAAACATGGTTGGTTATATTGACATATACATTTATCAAGTGTGGGAATGAATTCACAAGCTTCTGTTTCTATCTAGTTGAATGCTTTACAACGAAAATTCATATTCTCTTAACGCTAATCTGGTGAAGGGCAACTGAATTTTCTTGGATGAAGGCTATCTATGTGGTCTCTTTACAATTACCATTTGGTCCCTCTTCTTGATGCAAATCTGTTGAAATGAAAATGAATTTTCTTCTAGTTTTTTTTGTTGTAATGTATTGATTCAATAATTATATATGTGGATTTTGGACCAAAAGGAACCCTAAATACACAATAATGTAAGAAAAGTTCAAATATTATCATGCATTTTTATGCCGAACACTATTTTTAGAATAGGTTTTAGTTTAACATATTACAGTATAAATAAAGGTATATAGCTTCTATTTCGAATTTCAGCCCTTTTTTCCGGACTCGAAACTTGGATAATCTTATTAATCTGTGAATATATCAATTGTGAGAATGCATCAATTTACTAACACCTAATATTCTATGTGATGTCTTTGCTCTTTGGATTAAGGTTATGTATGTGACCTTTTTGCGATTAGAATTTTTTTCCTAAAGGCGCAAATCTATTAGAAGCAAGACGTATATCCTGGAATGTTAGAGCTCATTAATTTTTTACGAGAATTTTGGTATTTTTATTTACACCCAAGAATGATATTACAATTTTTCTTTTTCATACAATTTTTATTTCAGATTTTGAAATTCTTTTGGACTCCAAATACGTGTAGTCTCATTTTCTTGTAAATCTATTGAGTATGGATATATGTTTATCTGCAAGCTGGTATTTATCTCGATGATCTCATTTGTGCCCTAATCTTGATGCAACTTTATTGAAAAGAAAATGAAATTTCTTAGATAAATTTTGGATTGTCGTACTCTGGTAATAACTTATGTGAGCATGGTTCTAATTAGTGAGTATATTGATTTTAAATATTACTGTTAATAATTGTGCGTGGATTATTCTTTGCAGGAAATCATGAAAAAGAGATAACATACGTTTGCAGATCAAATTTTTGTGTTTAAAATAACACAACAATTCTATGTATTCCAAGTTTTTTATAGATTGCGATATCTATTACACCCAATTATTGGCTCGACCTTTCAAAATCATTTCTCGGAGGCTTTGCAGCAAATTATGTGAAAAATGAGATCATTTATTGTATAAATCAAAATTTGTTAAGATGGATACGCTTTCTTACAAATTTTAAGTTTGTCGAATAATTCTATAAACTACTAAATTGTTATTAAGTAGTAATTTATTAGTTTTAATTTTTAAATTGATTAACGTATGTTTATTTGTATGTAGCTCTTATGTCACTTATGTAGATTTATTACAACAATTATTGTATATAAAAATATAATAAAAAAAGTACTAAAACCATTAACCAGTAAGTTTACAGTCCATAATATATAATATTATTTACGATGTACTCAGCTGTGCACTTTTCATTTACGCATACGTGAAACTGACTATCAAATCCCTTATGCATTGTTATCTATAATATAATAATAATATAGTTTCAAATCTACTACTCATACATATAATGTGTGACAAATATTTATAACAATCTATTCATCTCTCAGCTTATTTATTCATATTTACATGATATTAAAGTTTGATAATAGTAACACCTGTTGCTATACCTAAATACGAATATGTATTCCTCCATAATCAACTTGTGGACTTGCTGTTCAATAATATAGAAAAAATGCAAATTGAAAAGGTTTTTAGTGACGACAAAATAATAATAGTTTCCATAGAGATTATTGAAATAAAAGAAAACAATCTTATACCGAAATATAGTACCTGAGTATGATTCTTGATGCGTGATTAATATGGCAACATCATATATTAAGTTCATTATTTGATTGCACTGGCTGATCAGAGCAGCTACCTTCCAATTCTATGATAATGCTTTATCTAGAATATTATCACTATATTGGTGCTTCAAGACCATTTCATCATGTCTTTCCACAACCATCATATTCGCTTGATTTACCTCTTTGTGATTTCTATCTGTTATCTATGCTCAAGAGACTTATCAACAATTGTTTCTAGTACTTGAAAGAACGTCGACATAAGTGTATTGTATTGGATGAGTGTCGCTTTGACACTTTAAAACAACATTATATATGGTACTGACATATATATAGGTATAGGGTAATATACTAATATATTATATAGTATCTTATATAAAATTATGAAATTATAATGAATTCCTACCACAAAAACGATTTCAGCGTTATTACATTTTAAATATTTTACTTTATAAAAATTTCTCTCCCGTTCTAAACTGGAAGTTATCATTGCTATTATTTAACTTGTAATTATTTTCTGTATCTCCGAAATTTACTGGCTCATTATGTTAATTTTCTACTTTTCCGAAGCTGTCAAATTCTCGAACGGACTTAAGTTAATTTATGTGCTGACGCTGTTAATCGTCGCATGAAATTGTTGAGTTAAACGAAACTAAAAGTTTTCAGATACTTTTTTAGTATCCGAGAACACAAAGTAAATAAGGAATTTGGAAGATAGAAAAATTCATACTCATGCATTGCAGGATGAGAGCCAACAATTTAATTAAAAGTTTTATTGTGAACGCATAAATTAACCAAAAATCATGATCATTATATGAAGTATCTGCGGCTGGAAAAAATAACTGCAACTTCCACTGTCCGTCTGTCCCTCTGTCTGTTGGCTTGTTTGTCTGTCCGTACTGTGAACTCCATTTGCTGTGACTTCGCCTCGTATAATTTTCTCGCTTTTTATGCGAGAAATCGCAAGAAAATGCAGAAATTCTGAATTTTGTGAATAAAAGAAACATTAAAATAATTTCATTGGGTGGAGAAATTAAAAAAGTTTGCGAAATTTATTGTCCCTTTTGCATATTTAAGTTAATGAAAGGGAAAAGCTTACTTCTATTAGAGTAAAGAGTTTATTAAAAAAAATATTGAAATTAATTGCCAAATTAAGAGACGCGCATGATTTTAATTTGCTGAATATAAACAATTATCTTCGATTTTTATTATATTTTTAAAACGAGTATTAGGTTATCTTCTTCTGTTGAAAATCTCTAAACGAGATGTCGTCTCAATTGTATATTTGAATTTTTCAAGTTCTGGGATATAAAGAGCAATGCAACAAATATAACTCAGCATTCTTCCTGGTATTTATCGACTTCCTTAAAGCTTTAACCTCGATTGATCGCAACGTAATATTGCTTGAGTGCCGGATAAAATTATCAAAATTATTAGAACTCAATATCAAGGAGCCTATGCGATTGTCATGCACTGCAGCAGTTTTAGCGACCCTTTCACCACTCGAACCGACATCAAACAAGGATGCCTCATAACTTCTCTCCTGTTTGCGGTGACATTAAATTACATATTAAAATCAGTTGCTTCCAGAAGGTGAGGAATTATGTGGAGGAGCAATCAACATCTTGAAGACCTTGACTATGCTGACGACATAGTTCAACTCGCTTCCAACAGGGAACATATGCAGGCAAAAATTGACGATATATGCATTACAGCCTCGGTAACGGGACTACACCTCAACGTTTCAAAAACTAAAGAGTGTGCGATTAAATCATCTCATACATCATCGTTTAAAGTAAACAATGTTGCTATATAGAATGTTACTCTTACAGACGGCGCTGGAAAGGACGCTAGTCTGCGCAATATCTGGCGCATAAATGAACTGTCTACTACTACAAAAATCAACGTATACAACGTTAAGTCTGTACTATTATATGGCTCCGAACTATGGTTAGTCAGTGCTGAAACCGAATAAAGCCTGCAAGTATTTACTAATAGATGCCTGAGCATGCGGGTGGCCTGGCATAGTCTCAAATGAAAACCTGCTTCAATTAACAAGACAAAAAGGCTTTAATTCCCAAATAAGAGGAAAGCGAGGACGACAACAAACAACTTGGCGAATAAACATCTTGAATGAAACCGGCTTCAAATTGAAATAACTGGAGATTCTATGAAAATAGCCTAAATACTGCATTAAATAAATAAAATAAAAATTATAAAATTAAAGATCATTTATAAAACAAGAAGAGATAATAAAAGATATAAATAAAAGAAAATGCAAGAAACATTATCATTAGAATATTAAAAAATGAATAATATAATGGGACACAACAAAGACAACATATAAATATTTATTTTGCAAATAAAGTGAAAGGAACCTGATTCTAACAACCCCAAAAAAACAAGGCAATAATATTATTTAAATTTAATATATTAAATTATATTAAATTATAATAAAATTTAATATAACATAAGAGGCGCGAAATAATGGACTATAAGGCGGTAAATACATGTAACTGAAAGGGGTGGGGAATAGCTGCGGGGAAACATAAACAAGATCAATTACAGCAGATAATTACAGGAAAAAATAATATAAAAAAATAAAGGAAATTATTAGGATTTTGGAAACTCTTGGAGTTTTTTGAATTCTAATTTCTTAAGTATGTTTAAAATAGTATAAGCAAAGAATCTACAGTACTCTAGATTCTTTGGTATAAGTGTAGATTATTAATAATATAGATATATAGTGTATATTACAAAGAATAAAAAAAGATATTCAAGATTGTGATGATAGAAATATAACTTCGAACAAGAATTATTAAATATCAATATATAATTGTAAAATAAAAACAAGACAATTTGTTTTTGAAAATAAAAAAGCGATGGTACAGGATAAGTTCTATATTCCGACCACCAATGTTAATTACACCCTTCCAAAAAACAATCAATTTTAAAAAAAATCGTTATTAAAAATTTTAAAAATATTAAACAAATAGAAGAACTACAGTTTCATCTGAATATATCTTATAGAATAAGTGGATTTTTAATTTTTGTAATAAAACTTGCAATAGTAGTAATTTTCCTCTGTATAAAAAATAATCATATTAAAATAGTAAATAATTTTCAAGAACACACTTTTAAAGACATTGAATTAAGACATGAAAGTCAGAAAAAAATATTTAACCAAGGTACGAGATCCAGTAGAATCTCAAATCAAGGGATGGAGGAGTTGTATTAAATAAGAAGGTACTGTTATTTTTCGCACAAACAAGATGGGTCCTAAGATTGACTTTATTATATAAAGTTAACATAACAAAAAGAATATTGTTTATTCAAATTAAATCTTAACTAGATTTAATAGAGAATGGCGAAGTTTCCACTGCCAATCACAAAAAACATACTATTAAAGAACGAATATGTGGTGTCGAAAGTGTGATTCCGGCATGTGAGGAACCTAAGCTGAATACTACATGAACTACTAGAACTGGAAAGTATAGTGGTGGTCTGAAAAATCTGCATGCGCTCGTGAGGCAATATAGGTAGTGAGAATTGAGAAAAAGTGAAGAGAATAATTAGAAAAATTAATTATAAAACAAGAACACGACAAACATATAAAAAAAAGTTATTTATTTAATAAAATAAGCAGTATAGATTTAAACAATTTATGTTTTTATAATATCAAGTTATGAGGTATAGCATAGTATAGATTAAGCTTAAAGATTATTCGAGAATATCAATAAAAAATTCATAGCATTATTCTATAACCTGTGAGGGTAAAGTTTTCTAAATAAAATTATATTATCACATATTATCAGTACAAAAAACAATAGTTTATATAGGTTCACGGATTATATTTTTTTGAATACAATATTAAACACAAAATTTTAAAATAAATATAAAAAAACAAAAATGTTATAACTTCGCCGCAAGAGATCTAAAAGAATCAAAAGAAGATTCTTCAGATATTGAAATATAGCCTTGATTAATAGCAATCAAGATTATGTTGACTGTTTGATAGGAATAACAAAGAATTGTCTATTATGAGCTGCTCTAGCCTAGTGCAATACCTAATTCGATCCTCTACTGATAACAGCTCGACCGCTTGATTGGAACAATCAAAGAACACGAAGCAAAATAGAATAGGAGAGTATAGGAGTTAAAAATTTGACATCATATTGAGTAATTTATTCATAATCAAATATTTAGTGATTGTTTATTAAGACTAATGTAAACAACACACCAAATGAAAAAAATTTAATTGAAATTCAATTTATAAAATATGAATTATAACAGCACTATAAATAGAAAAATTGTTTCTGATATTTAATAAAATAGTTCTCATTTAGTTTTGTGATATTTGTTAATAAAAATATAGACAGTTATAGAAGAATATTGTTAGCATGTATTGCATATTAATATAGTACATTGTCAGTATTGTGGCTTCTGTTGATATTGTTGGTAACTTATCACATACAATGTTAAAGCATAATTAAAAGATTATTA